ATTTGTAAAAAAAAAATATTTCTAAGAAAAAATTATAATTTTAAAAAAATAAAGTTAAAAAAAATAAAAAAGATTAAATTAAGAAAATAAAATTTAAAAAAAAATAAAAAACATTAAATAAAAAATAAAAAACTTTTGTGGGGTCCTTTCGCACCAAAAGTTGCAATGCTTAAGGATGGGACCCATCCTAGGAAATAAAAAATCAAAAAAGATCGTACCTTTCATAAATTACAAAATGGTTCTTATAACGATGCTAATAGAATTAAAAGTGTAATTTATTAATTTTTGGATGGTTATTTTGGTAAGGATCCCCAAGTTCGAGGCTATGGCGGTTCATGGGTCTTGATTTTGTTGAACAACAAAAAGAGAAAAATGGCGTGTTATGCTCTCATCGTCTCATCCTTTCTAAGATCGTAATTTCTACTTCCAAAAAGCTTTCCATTTTCCAAATCCATCACAACCCACAAATGGCAGATCGTTTCTTCCCAAATGAATTGCCGGAATTCATCAAAGAAGATGACCCACCGCCACCTGAAACCACCACAAACACCCTTTTAAAGACCCTTTCTCTTCCACACAACACATTCTCCGACAAACTCAAACGAACAGCTTTCGTCCTCAAAGAAACTGTATTCTCTAACTATTCATTTGCTTAATTTTATGTATTCTCTGCGAGTATTTCTATTCGCATATGAATCCCTATCTTCTATTCACATATGAATTTCTTCTTATAGATTGTAACAGAGACATGGGGAAACATCGGGAAACGTCTGAAGGATTATACACTGTATACAGGCGCCTTAGGGACGGCTTTCTTGGTTTTCAAAGCTTATCAAGTTAGCCATAATAAGAAAGATCTTAAATTGTGTAAAGATATTCTTAAAGCTTGTGATTCTGCTTCGCATGGCTCCAGGTTGCTATTTTCTTTGATTTTTATACGTGGGTTTCGGCTTTTTGGAAGTTTTTCTTATGCATCATTGAATAATGTGTGATTTAAATCTTGATAGTTTCTGGTGAGGGAAAGCTATTGATTTCTTTTGTTTTGATTGAGTAGAGGTGTGTTTTGGCTTTTGATTTTAAGAAGCTTTAGTTTTTCGATTGTGTCGAGGAATGAGAATTGTAGGAGTTTCTGGAAGTAATCGATGGTTAAGCTTGTTATGAGTATGTGATCGGTTTTCTTTCACCCGAAAAGGAAAAAAAGCCATGAGAGAAAGGAGGTTTCAACGTATATTGAAGATAATTGGTCCAAGTCTAGCCGATATGAGACTCTAACATGCCCCCTTTAACCGTCTAAACGGAGGTTAGACACGACATACAGAGTGACGAGTCCCTAGAGGGGTAGACCTTGACACTGATACCATGTGAGAACATGTGGAACCCTTTTGGATTACTGTACAAAAGAGCCTGTAAGGAGAGAAAGGAGGTTCCGACATATATCAAGGAGAAATGGTCGAAGTCTAGCTGATGTGGGACTCTAATATGCCTGCTCTAATTTAGGCCAGACTGGCACATATTCCTCGAGAGTGTCGAGTCCATAGAGTGGTATACTTTGACTTTGATACTGATATCATTTGAGAATACGTGGAACCCATTTGGATTACTCTGCAAAAGAGCATTCGAGAGAAGGGAAGTTCCAACATATATCGAGGAGAAATGGTCCAAGTCTAGCTGACGTGGGACTAACAAATGAAAATGGAACTGATACTTTCATTTGTCTTTGATACGAGGGAATAAACACCAAATGGAGGATATATGCTTCATATGATTCTTTCAACCTTTTTTGTGACCCTTTTTCCTTTCCTGGAACATCTTCATCATAAGCGACTCTGCATGCTTCTTCTAAACAGTCTTGACAATTGCATACATCATTGAGATTATATGACCTCAAGACCATGTAGAATGGAAACGGATTTGTCTCGTGGGTAAGGTTTGAAATGTGGGTGTCATTGATTTGAGGTTCGGATACCATAAGTGCTAGCAACTCCTTAGGGGCCATGCTTGCCATATGGAAGGCATAAAGTTTGCCCCAATCATGTAAATGAAACATTTTTAAATGGAGCTCGTTGACTAGTTTGGCCAAAAGGGTAGAAGACCATGGAAAAAAGAAGTTAGAGCCATGTCGAGTAGTTCCATTTGTTACACAAGCTTTCAAAGCCACACTGGATCAGTTGCTTTAGGAGGCTTCTTGAGACTGGTTTCACGTATGGGCAATGGCGGATCCAAGATTTTTCCCTAGTGGGGGCACCTTTAAGGTCGATCAAAGGGCTACAAAGTTGTTTTTAGCATAATTCCATCGTTTCGAGGGATTTTTAAAAGTTTTTTTGGTTGATTTCGAGGGATTTTTTAGTTTTTTTTTTGTCGATTTTAAGGGACTTTTTTGGTGTTTTGGTTGGTTTCAAGAGATTATTTTCGATTTTTTGATTGATTTCAAGGTACTTCTTTTTATTGGTGGGGACACAGGTGAGAAATCACTGGGAGGAACTATGGTATAAAGTTAAAAGAGGAAAATATATATTTAGTGGGTACCCATCCCCCACCTTATAGTACTACATCCGCCCTACGTATGCGCTTCCCATTACCAACCCAAACGGACCCGATAAATCCCACTAGAAAGTAGGGTCAGGGTTGAGATGTATGAAGACCTGACATCTACTTCAAAAAGTAGAGCGACTGTTTCCATCAAGATCCCCGACTTGTTAAAGAGTGTGAGCAAACATGTAGAAGGAACAAGAACTAGCACATGGTGAACATAGAACGAGAACATTAAGAAAGAAAAAGTAACGACTTGGGACATAGAAAACATACAAAGAAGTAAAACAAACATCGAGCCAATATGGCTAAATGCACACATAACAAGCAAGACAAAACATATCCGTTAGCCTAAAATGCCAACTCCCATCTGCTCAAGGTTTTGACTGGTTTTCCATCAAATCCTGTATGGATAAAGATGTCTGTGTGGATTAGTCTGTCTTTTCATAGATGGAAGGAGTGTGTTTTTTTTATTGGGAGGGACATAGATGGAAGGAGTTTGTTTTTTTATTGGGAGAGACAGGTTTGGAAAAAACTTGGCTTTCTGCATAAAGCTCTCCCCTAGAAGCTTATTGAATAAGCCACTTTCTATATCATTAAGCTACTACCAAACAATCATCTATAGCTGACCGAATAAGCTACAAATCCTGATAAGTTCATTAAGCTGCTAACAGATAGGTCCTAACTACAGGTCCCACTTCTAATCTGCCACTCTAATCACTTCCCTAGTAATGATCTTGGTGCTCTGGTTCTTGTTTCTATAGATTTTAGAAGAGGAATGCTTGTGTAAGCCAACTACATATCTAATGATCGCAAATGGGATTGCAGTTGCATGACCTTCATGTGTGGGCAGGCTGGTGTATACGCTCTTGGGGCTGTTGTGGCTAAACAAGCGAACGATGATTATTTGTGTGATCACTATTTGACCAGATTTAGAGAGGTATTATTCATGTGAATATTGACATATATGCTCTTATTGGCGCTGTTTCGTGGGTCAATTGGATTATATTTTTCTGTGCAGATTAAACTTCCTGTTGATCTTCCTGATGAACTATTGTACGGTAGAGCAGGTTACTTATGGGCATGTCTGTTCTTAAACAAGAATCTTGGTGAAAACACAATTTCTTCTACCCAAATGGTAATGTTTGGAGGTTATATGTTTGTTGTTCTTAGATCTTATAACGATGGTCATATATTTGATTCTTTTTATCTGCAGAGAACTGTTGTAGATGAAATTATAAAGAATGGTAGAAATTTATGCACAGGGGAATCCCCATTGATGTATGAGTGGCATGGGAAAAGGTATTGGGGGGCTGCCCATGGACTTGCTGGGATAATGAATGTATTGATGGATATGATACTTACCGAAGATGAGTTGGAGGATGTGAAGGGTACACTTTTATACATGATCAAGAATCGATATTCGAGTGGAAATTATCCGTCAAGTGAAGGAAGCCAATCGGACTGTCTAGTGCATTGGTGCCATGGTGCTCCTGGTGTCGCTCTTACCCTTGCAAAAGCAGCCAAGGTACATGTGAAAATATGTGGAATTTCATTATATTTACTCTCCAAAAGAGTTTTTCCAACATATATTGAGAAGAATGTTTGGTTGGTTTTTTATTAAGTCCAGTTTGGATAAAACTGTCTGTGTGGATTAATCTGTCTGTTTAGATTGGAAGGTTTTTGTTTGGGAGAGTTTTTTCATAGATAGAATGAGCATGTTTTTTAATTGGGAAGGGCGGGCTTGGAAAAACTTGGCTTTCTACACAAAGCTTCCCCTAGAAAATTTCTGAATAAGCCACTTTCTATATCATTAAGCCACTACCAAACATTCATGTATAGTTGATCGGATAATCTACTAGTCACATTAAGCTCATTAACCTACTAACGAACAAGCCCTAAGTCTAGCCTATGTGGGACTCCAACATGCCGCCTCCAACAACGGCTAGATAGGCACAAAATGTCTCAGAACATTGAATACCTAGAGTTGTAGACCTTGACTCTGATATATGGATCCCCACTAGATTACTTTCCGAAAGAGCCTTGAGAAGGGAGATTCCAACACATATTGAAAAGAAATGGTCCAAGTCTGCGGATGTGAGACTCCAACATGCCCCCTCCAACATAGGCTAAACGGGCTCAATTTGTCCCGAAGTGTCGAGAGGGGGATAGATAGGGCACAATTTGTCACAAACTGTCAAATACCATATCTAGAGACTAGAGTGGTAGACCTTGGCTTTGATACCATGTGAGAATACATGGAATCTCATTATAGTACTCTCCAAAATAACCCTCAAGGACAGAAGGGAGGTTCCAACATATATGAGAAGAAATGGTCCAAGTCTTGTAGATGTGGGACTCCAACATGCATTTTGATTGGACTATCCTGCAAACTTGCATGAAATGAAGCTAAGATTAATCTTCTAAATGCTTGTTTACATTGCTTAAATAAGCTCTCATTCGAAACCAAACAGATTTTCCATTCTTGTTAATGGCTCGTATAATATCAGGTTTTCGGAGGTGAGGAATTTCACAAGGCAGCTCTGGATGCAGGGGAGGTGGTATGGGAACGAGGGTTACTTAAACGAGTTGGAATCTGTCATGGAATCAGTGGGAACACATACGTTTTTCTTTCGCTCTATCGCTTAACAGGTGACGTGAAATTTTTGTATAGAGCCAAAGCTTTTGCGGGCTTCCTCCATGATAAAGGTCAGACGCTTATATCAGAAGGAGCAATCCATGGAGGTGACCACCATTTTTCCCTATTTGAAGGCATTGGAGGAATGGCTTATCTTTTTCTAGACATGGTTGATCCATCCGAGGCTAGGTTCCCTGCTTATGAGCTTTAAATAACGGTTATTATTATCGTTTCTTGATTGCTTTCTATGTATCTAAACTTCATGACTAGTTTTCACCGCACTACTTTTCTGTAGTTCAATACTATCATGCATATTAGTGAAAAACTGGCTGGTCTTTGTAGGGAGTGGGGGCAGAGTCTATTATTCATTGTAGGGAGTGGTGGCGGAGTCTTGGTGGCTTTTTGCTACCTGCGGAGTGCTGACTGCCTCTTACTGGGTAAGAGGTGCTCACTTGGTAAGAAGGGATGTTGTTTACCAACACACTGTGGCTGTTTGGTTGGTTTTCAACAAGTCTGGTATGGATAAAGCTGTCTGTGTTGATTAATCTGTCTGTATAGATTGGGAAGGTTTTTATTTGAAAGGGTTTTTCTCATAGATGGAATGAGCATGCATTTTAATTAGGAAGGACAGGTTTGGAAAAAAAACTTGGCTTTCTGCATAAAGCCCCCTAGAAGCTTATTGAATAAGCCACTTTCTATATCATTAAGCTACTATTAAACAATCATGTACAGCTGACCGAAGAAGCTGCGAGTCCCATTAAGCTCATTAAGCTACTAACAAACAAACCATTACTTGGTTAGCGCTTACCCAATTTGTATTGGTAAACGGACATAGTATTTCAGTTTGAGATATACTATTTTGTTAAAAGATGAAAATAGATAATTCGTTTTTAGTATTTCTTGATGTTTTAGTTGCTGCCTATTCAGAAAGAAACACAGAACCTGCAAGTAAATGCCGAGTGATTTTATTGTCGAATCTGGTTGAACCGACCAAAATTTACAATAGAAAACTGCCTGCGTCCATTTCTTATGCTCACATCCTCACCCCAAATGGATCAAACCGAAGAGAGATTTATCTTGTTTAAGCTAACCCGACGAGTTTCTCACTTATCTCCCATACTTTACGAGCCTTGGCGACATCACTAGCTTCTTCTGACAACTGGTTCTCAAACGAAGCCGAGTTATTGTTCCAGCTCCAGTAAACTCCAGATTTCGTCAAGCTTGGATCACTCACAACCTGTATCACAAACCATAACATATTTAGGGGCTGTTTGGTTGGTTTTTCGTTAAGTCCTGCATGAATATAATTATCTGTATGGATTAATCTTTCTGTATATATTAATTTGTCTATATAGATTGGGATGGTTGTTTCACAAGTGGAAGGAGCTATTTTTTAGTTAGGAGTAGGTTTGCAAAAAAAAACTTGGTTTTATGCATAAAGCTCCCCCTTAGAAGCTTACTGAATAAGCCACTTTTTATATCATTCAGTCACTACTATACAGTCATGTATAAGTTGTGAGTTCCATTAAGCTCATTAAGCTGCTAACAAACAAGCCCTTATTTGCAAAACTGAAAAAGAAAAACAACACTACAATAAAATCGGCTTCATAGGACACTACTTACATGTCCTAACCTCGTTTATAGGACTTAAGCTTATAGGACCAAACAATTGTACTCCCTATTTAAAGATTTTACAATAACTTGGTAGGACGCTTTTGAGGAGCTTAAAAAGTTTTTAAGGACAAGTTTGAAATAAGTCATCCTACTATTTTTTATAAAAAGACGTGTTCATAGGACAACTCTCTAAAGTATCCTATGATCCATCTGCGTGAGTTCAATTCTAGACGTCCACAACAATCATGGCCACTGAGTTTATCAAGGCTGATCTCTTATAGTCAGAATCTGTCGGATTAGTCTGGGCATAACCTTGGACACCCTTCAAAAAAAAAGTTAATAGGACACTTGAAAAGTATCCTAAAAAACTTCTATATAGGAAGCTTAGTTGTTTGGTCTTATGTACTTAAGTCCTATAAAGTAGTCTATCAGGACATTTATACATATTTGGCGTCCTATAAAGCCGATTTTCTTGCAGGGCACACTTGGAATACACATATATGGTTCGAGTGTTTACCTGAGCAAGTCTTTTGCCGGATTCCTCCTCGGAGACAAATCCCTTGGTGATGTACCTCTGGAACGGAGGAAAGAGGAGTCTGAAAGCCGGAATATGCTCCCTAAACAAGCCTGTTGTTGCGATACAACCGGGGTACAGGGAAGCGAACGTGATGCCGGTTTCTTCGTGGAAACGGCGGTGGAATTCTTGCATCATGAGCATGTTGCAGACCTTGCTGTCTTTGTACGCCTTTGCACCATCAAAATCTCCTCCATCAATCATGGCAGAGCTGTTGAGTCCGTTCAATCCACCGGCTAGACCTCTCATGTCTCCCAAGTTAGCTTTTGGAGGTACGTTTCCAGCCAATGTGTTTGTGTTTCCTGTAATGTGATCACATTTCATTTTAGGAGTAAACACACACACACACACACTCTCTCTCTCACGGATTTCTTACTCTTATTACAAAAAATCGACTTTATAGGAGGTCAAAGATGTCTTGTTTGGTTGGTTTTCCATCAACTCCTGAATGGATAAAGCTGTCTGTATGGATTATTCTGTCTGTATAGATTAGGAATTTTTTGTTTGGGAGAATTTCTCATAGATGGAAAAAACGTGTTTTTTTAATTGGGAGGGACTAGTTTGAATTTTTTAGCTTTCTGCATAAAGCTCCCCCTAGAAGCTTAATAAATAAGCCACTTTCTCTATTATTAATTCACTACCGAACAGTCATGTATAACTGACCAAATAAGCTACGAGTCCCATTAAGCTGCTAACAAACAGAAATGTCATAATAGACTGCTTTAAGTTTATAGTAGCAACCAATTGTGCTTCCTATATGAAGGCATCACATTAAGTTGATAGGACATATTTGGCATCTTAACGAGTTTTTCATGACACTTTGAAACAAATGTCACTCTCTATGAACACGTCTTTTTATAGGACATTTGTTTTTATAAGACATTTTTTTATGTCATAAAAAGACTAATATTGTTTCTTTATCCACTTACTGTAACACCTTTTCATAGGACGCATAATTGTGTGGTCTTATAAACCTAAGTCGACATTTAGGGCTGTTTGGTTGATTTTCCATAGGACGCATAATCATGTATAACTGACCGAATAAGCTCATAGGGGTCTTATAAAGCCGATTTTGTTATAGTATTGTGATTAAAATTGTATAATACCTGTAATGGAGCCAACAATGATGAGTCTTTTTGATGGGTAATCAGAATGCTTCAAGTCATCAAGCAACAATCTTGCAAGCAAGAAGTGACCAAGATGGTTAGTCCCAACGCTGAGCTCGAACCCATCAGCCGTAAATGTGGGCTCCTTAGCGGTCGGAAGATAAACGGCTGCGTTGCAAACCAACACATCAAGCGGTTGATCCGATTGCTTGAAGTTGGCGACAAACTGTCTGACACTGTCAAACGACGCAAGGTCCAAATGCATAACGGTATAATTCTCTTTTAACATTCCATTCGATTTGGCTGCTCTTTCTGCTTTTAGAAAGTCTCGACAAGCCATAATCACATGCCATTTCCCTGTTTCGGCTAGAGCTTTTGCTGTGGCTAGACCCAAACCAGAGGAAGCCCCGGTGACAACCACCGTACCCTTTCTTAAGGTTTTCTTCCCATCGGTTGACGCCTGGTTCACCGACGGTGTTGTAGCAACCAGGGCTTGGGTTTTGAGTGCACCCCTTTGGCTAAATTCCTTTTCCAAGAAGCCCAAATCTTGTTAAGCAGAAAATTATACTTGCTAAAACAAAATCGGATTTATAGGGTGCCAAAAACGTGGGAAATTGACCAAAATAGTCGACTTCCCCAACCAACTTCACTTTTCAGCCATATTTTTTAATTGAACTCCCATTTTAATCGGAGTTTACGCAAATGCATAAAGCATTGCGTAAAGACTGGTTATTTTGGGAAGAGGCTATGAAAAGTGGCTAAAAAGTGAATTTGGTTCATGGGATTTGTTATTTCAGTCAATTTCCCCAAAAATGTCTATATGTCTTAATAGACTTTTTTACAAGACGAAACACTTGTGCGTCCTATGTAAAAACATTACAATAAGCTTATTGTATGCCTTTCGGTGTACCAACAAGTTTTTTGTAACAATTTTGAAATATAGCGGTTTTATTAAAAAAAAATTAAAATTGTTCTAAAAAACTTGTTAACACGCCAAATAGTGTCCTATAAACCTATTGTAACATTTTACATAGGAGCTGCTTGTTAGCAGCTTAATGAGGTCGTAGAGTATTTGGTCAACTATACATGATTGTTTGGTAGTGGGCTTAATGATATAGAGAGTGGCTTATTCAGTAAGATTTTAGGGAGAAACGTTATGCAGAAAACCAAGTTTTTTCCGAAACTGTCCATCCCATTTAAAAGCACGCTCCTTCCATGTATAAAAAAACCCTCCCAAACAAAAACATTCACACCTTATACAGACTGACTGATCCACACAGGTAGCCTTACTTATACAGGACTTTAACACATTTTTGGCATCTTATAAACCCGTTTTTGTTGTAACGACATCAAGAAAACGGTAACCATAGAATTTGAAGGATGGAAAAGAAATGAAAGCAGGTTTCTTGTAGTACCCACCCTGTTTCTTGATGCTGCTGATGATTTGAGGTCAAATTTAAGATGAGATGATAGTGATGCTCCAAATAAGCTGGAATCCTTCAAAGATGCACTGGTCTTCCCCTGCAAAATGTACCACATTGTTACTACACATTCATATACATATATATATATATATATATATATATATATATATATACACACAGAGACAGAGAGGAAGGTTAGGGGGAAAACCCAAAAAGATGAATACAAGTAATTGAAGTTGTTTCTTGGTTTTTGTGCATGCATTCATGTAATGCATACCGGTCAAAGAACTTACAAATTACTAGGATGCATATGTGCATACATGAACAGTTACAGTTAGAATGGTCCTCAGTTTTTCATATATTTGTGGTTTTCCCCTAAACCTGACCCCGATATTAAGAGAGTTGAAGGAAAAACCTCTTTGTGAATGGAGAAAGAAGGTGAAGTAGCTTGGAGAGCCATTGGAGGTGTAAATATGAAGTGGGTTCCTGTAAATATGTAAGCAAGATTGTTGAAGATGATGAATGTTGATGTGATGTGGGGATATTTATATTACACTTTTGATTCAAAATTTGGTTTATGTTTATGATGATTCTTTATTAGTGGGTGGGTGGGTTGGTTGGATAAGATAGTTGATCATTAAAAGTGGTGGGTCGCACTAGATTTTCAGATAACCAATCAGAAATCGGATTCTAGATTTTCTAGCTGAGATAAGTGAAGTGGGCCTGAAGCTACAGAGAAAGGTGCTCTGCCCAAAGCATCAAACAAAGAGTTATGGGCTTCGAATAATGGTTGTTGAAAAGGAAGTTATGGATGTATAAAGTACAGATACATGGAAGAAGCGTAAGAAAAGATTTGAATTTTTGATCATTTTGAATCTTACCTTATTTTATAATTGTGTCTGATATGAGAATTGATCTGGTATATCTTGATGTATCTCATTACCGTTGATCTTTAATTAGGGTTGATCTAAGGGTGGAAAACTATTAGTACTATTCTCACTATAATTTCTATTGTTGTCGGAATCCATTAGGACATGGTCAAAATAGAACTAATCCGTTGAAATTTTAGGATTTCTCTTATAAATTATAAAACTTAAAGATGTTTCTTTGAACTTTATAAAATTCAAGAGTTCAATGGAAAATTTTCATAGTTAAATAAAAAGTTATAAATTTCATTCAGCTCCCTCTCTTTTTATAACACTTATTCACTCTTTTTATCCATTTCTATTACAACATAGAACAACTTCACCAACACTTTTGTAGCTTCTTTTTTCTCTTTTTAATTATGATTTTAATAATAGAAAAATAATAAGTGATCAATTTTCATAGTAAAAAATTGCACAATTTTGTTCAAATATTTAAAAATATACTGACATTTTTATTTTTATATTATATTTTACGAATTATTTAATAAAATTTGAGTATTTATTAAAACTAATTATAGATTGAGTATCTCACGAGCTACTCGGGTCGAGTGTTGACCGAGTCAATCTCAAGTAGCTCGTATGATTTACACCCATATTCATTATGAAGAATCAATCAATGACCGAGTCAATCTCGAGTTGTCTCGCATCATTTACACCCCTATTCATTATTAAGAATCAATCAAGCGAACGAACGAACGAACAAATGCTTGACTCGATCAACCAAAAACGAGAAAGCAATTAACTTTATGTAAAACCGAACGATAATTTGAATCGAAAAAAATAAACTCTTTAAATTCCAATCTTGCTTTCTTGTCATCCTGCTAACTCTACCCCTTTTTCCCTACTACTAAACCAAAAGAGTAAAAAAAAAACCGTTCTTCTTTTCCTTGTCTAACTTCTTTTTCTGCAATGCCTTTTTGAACAGGCAAAGCCACACCCATATATGCTGCTAAAATATTACAAATCATGGAAAACATCTGTACAAATTTCCCAAATAACAAACCAACCTACCTCCTATATTCGAACCGGCAATCCGAAGTTCTGAAATGTTCTAATTTCCCCATGAAGCCCAGCCGTTACGATCACCATACCCCATGCTGACTTAATCGGGCCCACTCCATTCATGAAATCCGAACTCGTGTGTGGACTCTGGTTCTTGGTGGGTGGAATGAGTTTTTCTTCTGGCCACGTAGCGGAAAATCGATCAAAGAAGTAACCGTTACTTGCACTAGAAATGATTCCGTGAAACGGATTGTTGTTGCTAGTTGTTAGTGGGAAGCTACTGCCGTTCGTTTCTTCTTCTGGTGTTGGAGGATGGTTTGCTGCCGACACCTCCAAGTGGTCCCCGCTATGTCTATTGGGTTCTTCGGGAAACGGGTCTTCGGTCATACCCGGCCACGGGATGGCGACGGATACATCTTGACAGTGGAAGTGTTCGTAAGACTGAGTAACCTTGACGCCTTTGTTTCTGCTAGGTCGGGAATCACCTTCGTGTTTCCAGACGTAGACTTGAGAATCCTCGCTAGCACAAACCACGTATCGCCCGTTTGCTGTGACCGAGGCCGAGATTTGCCGGTTTGTGCTACGAAATCCTGTAACGATCCAAATGGATGCATAAACATCAGAAAGAAGAGCACCTACTCTTCTAACCGGACCAAACCAAACCAACTCAGAATATCTCACTTAAAAGGTCTGAAGTAGAGGTGATCATTTGTGGGTTGGGCCGGGCCTAACCTATTTTTCTTGTCTAGCAGGCCTAATATAGCAAATTCAGTCCCTTGTTTACGGGCTTCAAAGCATGTCTTAAGAGCCCTATAAACGGATCGAGCTTGTCCAAGGGCTAAAGGGCCTAAACATCTTTTCATATTTTTAATAAAACAAAAGCTATGTAAAAATCACAAGTTATGTAAAATACTTCAAAATACATAACAATTTTTTCAACTTAAAATTAGGAGTGAATACATAACAATTTCGCAAAACATGGAATATCAACAAAGAAAATGACCAAATGAGACAATAAAAAATTGATCAATGAAGGTAATTATGTTTTTTACTTTTTAGAATTTCAAAGGGTGTTATTATTATGGGTCGCAATTAAGTGTAAATTGATAAGTATCAACAATTTGCAATTTTATTTGTAAATTTTAAGTATAAAAGTTAATTATTATAAAAATATTTAAGGGGCCAGGCCTACCCAAAATAAATTTGCATCGCTCATGCCCTCCCATTCATTTTAACAAGTCAGTCGGGGTCCGCCCATTTCTTCAGGAATGATAGTCCAAACCCGCTTTTCTAGCCATGAACAACTCTAGTCTTAAGGATGAGATGTCCTACAATAGGTTTCCACTTTCAAAAACTAAGTGCTTACTTTTCAATTCTACCCTTAATTATGAGATGAGGAAATTCATTGGTCTCACTATTATTAAGGGTAATATTGTCATTTAATTAATTAAAAAGTGTAATAATTACACATTTATAAAACTGCATGCCATTTTTAATATAGGGACATTTCTAAAACTTATGAAGACACTAACTTAAGACTTCTAGGCAGTAATAAAGATTGAAGAATAAAAATCAACATGTGATAAAAGCTTAACGCGTCAAGTTCGGGGGAAAACTGCAAAAAAAATATTAAAACTAAGTTACCCCCAGGTAACCTTTACCATTCACCTAAATGGTATGCACATGTGCATACAAGTAATTTCTAAGTAAATTGTCCAGTATTCACATGTGCATAACATGCACAAGTGCATAGAGACTAAGAAACAACTTCAATTACTTGTATGCGCATGTGCATATCCAGATGAATGATTACTAGGGTGTTCCTTGGTTTTTCATTTTTTGGGGGGTTTTCCCCTTAACCTCCCTCTAAGCTCAATATCTCATAAATGTTACCTTTGAACTTGTGAACCAAATCAACACCATCAACAACACGAATTCGTGAATCTGCAGATGTAATGAGCACTTCTGATGTGGTACCTGGTGCAAACTGTAGAGGGTACTAATCAGCAATGCATATTATCATGAAAAGGAAATCCCAACAATAAAATTAGTAAACATCGCCACAGCAAACACACAAAAATAAAGAACCAAAAGGCCATTGCCCAGTGGTAGTAACCCAACCTTCTTGAAGGTCAAGGGTTCAAGTCTCATCAAAGGTGAGAAGTGCGTGGGTTTTGCCGTATTATATTATATACTTTAAAAAAATATTGCCATCAATGAAAAATAAATGTAATAGCTGAATTTTTCACCTGAAAACCAGTGATCTTTTTATGGCGAGACTTCTTTTTGTTCTGCAGGCTGATCTGGCTTTTCTGCTGCAATTTATTTTCTGCAAAATATAGAAGTTTTACCAACATTTGAGCATAGATAGACAAACAAACAGAAAACGTGCATGAACACACACATATACATATATATGTGTGTGTGTATATAGGTATATCAGCCATACCAGTTGTGTTGTACAAACAGCAGCTTCCCTTGTATGAACCAACTAGTGCAGCCTTCAAGAATCAACAAGAAAAGTTCTGTCAGCCACAAATGAAACCAGGAATATACTCCCTCAATTCCAAAACAAATTGTCCACAACTTTAGAAATGTGTAATCACCACATTTTTAATTAAATGACAATTTTACCCTCGATAATAGATGGAGTGATGATTTTATCCATCTCATAACTAACACTCTGTTCTCGAAACCTTTTTATGAAGGAAAAGAAAGGAAAGGAACATGGAAGGAAAAAAATCATAAGTTTCCTCCCAAGACTTTCCTTCGAAATGTGCACGGAAAGGGAAGGAAAGAAATTAAAACCCTCTAACAAGATTATAGAAATTACAAAACCACCCAACCTTTCATCATAAAAGATATAGTTTTAAAGGGTATATTTGTAAAAATGACATCTTTCCTTTCCTTTCTCTCCTATTCAAGAACGTGAATTTTTTTTTTCCTTTTCCTTCCCTTCGAAAACACACATAAAAGAAATTGTTTTCCTTTCCTTTCTTTTCCATCCATTTATTTTCTTTTCTTTTCTCCCCAAATTCGAGAACATACATAAAAGAAATTATTTTCCTTTACTTTCTTTTCCATTCATGTATTTTCTTTTCTCCCCAAATTCGAGAACACAGCATAAGGGTAGAATTGGAAAGTACACTTACTTTTGAAAGTGGACATTAATTTCTAAAATAGAAATGCGGGTACTTATTTCGGGAAGGAGGAAGTACAAAATAGTAATTCCCACTTCACTCAACGTATATTTTAAATGGGAGTTGGATAAATATTTATGGCTCAACCTGACCATCTGGTGTATAGCAAGCAGCAGTGACCATCTCATGCATATCATTCCAATCAACCACTTGCCGATCAGGAATGCTCCATATACGAACTTTAGCATCAAGAGATCCACTGATGAAGTATCTATCATCAACAGGATTGAACTGGATGCAAGTTACTGTATTAAAAAAGGTCCAATTACAGAAACTTAGTAATCATAAAGATACGTATATTCCCACTAAAGGGAACACAGCGATTTGCTTGGCCATAAAAAATTATGTGTAACAAGTACTTAGTACTTTCCAAACCGATAGTTTCCCTTAAAAGCATCAAGATGCAACACAAAAATAGACTTTTTCCTTCCAATAGTCATACCGTAGTCATTGTGAGAAAATATCTTCAAACATGACTTGCTAGACAACTGCCACAACCGCACAGTTTTGTCCATTGAAGATGAGAGCAAATCCTGAAAATGAAATTTTATGCCAATAAGAGGTTTTCATATATGATTTGTTGTATTTCAAAAAGTATGTAATATTAAAATAGCATATTACATAAATAGGATGCAAACATTTAGGAGCCCTTTACCAAACGCTAAGGTTAGCACAAACTGGGTCACTTACCTTACCTGGTGAGCATGGCAAGGACCAAGAATTTTACCCAGGTGAGGATGGTGGCTCATTACATAGTACCTTTTTGTATCTACTTTATTTACTTTGTCTTCATAAATTAACAAGGAAAAATATTTATAGATGTTAATCACAACAGATAAAACAGATCGGCCCATGTTTATGAAAACAAGCTAAGCTTCTTCATCAGATTCCGGTAAGTGGCTACTTGTTGATACCATCTAACATTATGCTGAAATTGGAACTCCAAAAATGAAAAACTAAGAAAAGATTACATCTTGATGTAGATCTCGCACGTGGCCTGTTTGTTAGCAGCTTAATGAGCTTAATGGGACTAATTCGATCAGCTATACATAACTGTTTGGTAGTGAATTAATGATATTGGAAGTGGCTTATTCAATAAGCTTCTCAGGGAGAGCTTTATGCAGAAAGCTAAATTTCTTCCGAACCTGTCCCTCCCGATTAAAAAACACTCGCCTTCCTTCTACGAAAAACCCTCCGAAACAAAAACCTTCCCAATCTATACAGACACATCAATCCCAGCTTTATTCATACAAGACTTAATGGAAAACCAACCAAACATCCCCTAAGTAATGATGGGGGCGCTTGGCTTTTCAAGGGAATGAAAATGGGAATGGTTATATAATAAGGAATGATGATGTTAGGGAATGAAAAACCATTCCTCCATTTACTAGGGTATGGATGATTAACCACTTTTAAGTGATCAGCCTATTGCAATATTAACCAAACATCATTATTCATTCCCATTCATTACCCCCCTAATACCCCCAACCAAGCACCCCCGAAGTTCAATGTCAACTGCCACTTATCATTGAGTTCCAGAGAACACACATGGAATCAAATTACATTATTGAAGACACAATAAGTTGAATACCAACTAAATCTTCTTTATTGCAGAATAGTAGTTCTCAGCTTTTCAAAGAAAGGGGATTCTAGAAACTTAAACTATTCTCAATCACCTTTCGTTATTGTGTTTGATACCAGTTGTCGCATAATGGGACAGAGAGGTTACATGATAATTCTCCAAAGTGCAAAGGGAAAACATTCTTTCAAGTTAATGATTGACTAATATCAGCCATGCCCCAGTGCCCTCCTCTTGTCATCCAGCTTGAAACACATCAGAATTTGATGACAATAAAAAACCAAACAAATGCATTTTATTTCATTCAAATCCTACTTCTAAGTTTAGCTTCAGCAAACCAACCAAATGAATTTCTATTACACAAATCCTACTTGAATGTTAAGCTTCAACAAATCACCTAGATACAACAGGAGTTTGAAGCCAAGAAATAACGAAGACCTCCTAACAATTATCTACACCTATAACCAGGTCTTTTGCAACTCGAGAGGAAAAAGGCACTTATAAAATGAATAAATAAACATATTAGTTGATATGTGGATAAACACAAAAAAAACAACCTACGTAAATTTGCAGCCTGGTGTGATGAAAAAAGAAACCAAAAGCTTTGCTCCTAAATAGATGCTCAAAAAACATCCTCACAAGCATGCTAGAGAGAAATACAATTTGATTAGCATGTCCAAGAAAAAAGTGGATTTAAGACTCTTAGATACTGTAACATTGTCTGATAGTGAGATTCAACTCGCTTGACCCATTCATTTCATTTATCATCTCCATTATATGGGACCTACAGACACAAAAACTTGCATCACTGAGATAGGAGCACAAAATAAACCTAAGAGAAAAAACAGAACAAGCTCAAGAAATTGACCTAAAGCATTTCCCATTTAACCATCAGGTTTAAGAAGATCAAAAGCAATGGTAACTATATTATAACCAAGCATCCATCGTTATAATATACCATTGTGTCGTATTGGAAATCAAAATTTTCAACTTGGACTAGGAGCATACATTGTCTATGCAACATATCAATAACCTAATCAAGTGTTTTGTGTTAACAAAGAACGGAAAAATCTCTAGAGCGCACTACCTAAGTAGTAGCTCCTTATCTTTAAACTTGTATGCCAGTTATCTTCCCCTCATTAAGCATGTCTACATAGCTTTATCCACACAAAAAGAACAGATCTATATAAACCAGATCCAATATACCCAACCCAAAAGTAGGATATGGGGGTAAGATGTATGTAGACCTTTCCTATGCTTCAAGAGACGGGAACGTTGTTTCTGAGAAGACCACCGATTTGTGAAGAAGATTTGAAAAGGATAGCTAGAAGCCACATTTTTACAAAATACTACTAAATTATTATCAATAAAGATCTAGATAAGATTGCAAAGAACCTGAAACAAACGTTAAAAAAATTGAATGCAAGAGAAAATAAAAATGAAAGAGAAAATGATGAGAGGGTGAACAAGAACAGTAAATGCGGCTAAGCCAACACTAACTACATAAAAAGCACACAAAACAATCCAAAAATTCTCCCCTATATATCCATCCTACGGCATTACAAACCTATTTGTTGATTCTCCCTATGATTGAGGGGGAGAGGAGGCAAGGCACTCCTATCTGAGGTTGTGCCCTCGAAAAGTACTAACTCCTCCATGTCCAACCTTTTAGCTCATCCCACATCGTCTTCGGCATGCCTTACCTCCTCACCCCCTCAACAATGACCTCTCCACCCTCCTCATTGGTGTCATGTGTAGTCTTTTGCAAACGTGCTCAAACCACCCCAGTTGGCAGTTTATGCTCTTTCAATTTATCCAAGATAGGTACAACTCCTAGCTCTACACACAAAACCTCATTCAGTAACATATCAAACATAGTCCGATCACGGGTCCATCCGAGCATTCTCATTTCTACAACTTCCCATTTTCCTCTCATGGGTTTTTTTTATCGCCCACCACTCATACCCATACAACATAGTATGGCCACCCAGTGGAATTTGCACTTTGAGCCTTGACAAGACCTTCTTGCCACACAACACTCTTGTGGCCATCCTCCACTTTTCCTAGTATGCCTTTATGCAGAGTTCAACGTCCTTAGCCTCTCCCTTCTTCCGAATCATCAATCCCAAATACTTGAAACATCCTTTTGAGGACCTTTTGCTCCCCAATGCTCACGTCACCCATGTTACACTCTGCCAAAAAGTGTATCTTTGATCAGCTAATGCACAAACTTTTAGCTTCCAGTGTGGTCTTCCATTACTCTAATCTAAAATTCACCTCCTCCTTCGTCTCGGCAATGAGTTCAATGGCGTCAACAAATTAACACGTCAGAGAACACTCTCTTGGATCGTGAAGGAAATCTCATTCAAAATTACAACAATGGGAATAGGCTTAAAGTGGATCCCCACCTAGAAGCTTTTTGTCTCTCCCACCGGTATCTTGATACAGCTCCTTGTATTCATGTACATATCCAGAACCACCCCGACATACCTCTATTGTACCCCTCTAACGTCCAAGCTCTTATGGATCACATTGCTAGGTACACTATCATATGTGTTCTCCACGTTTATGAACACCATGTATAAATCCTTCTTATACTCTCTACACTCTTCCATAAGGTACATGAGGAAGTGGATCGCTTCCATCATAACCTCCCTAGCATGATGTCAAACCGGTTCTCAGTCATCATCGTTTTGCGACGCACCCTGACCTCAATCACTCTCCCCGTAATTTCATTGTGTGGCTAAGAAGTATTATGCCACGATAGTCGTCACAATTCTATGCGTCACGTTTGTACTTATAGAGCAGTACCACCGTGCCAAGCTTCCACTTGTCAGGCATTTTAGTAGTGTTGAAAATGATGTTATATAAGATCATTAACTACTACACTCTCGCCTTCCACAGCCAGATCTACATAACTTCCATAAATCCATCGCTCTTTATTTCTCAGACAGATTTTAAAAATTCATGTATGAGTTACGTACCAAAAAGAGCATCTGTTGTGGGATCTCTTTTCTTTTTATTTTTGCACAGAGTGTATGGATATTAGCCGATCATCATACAAGTCTCGTACATTCCAAAAGCCAAATGGAAACCCTCATTGCCACAAATGTTTCTCGTATGGACTAGAATAAACATGTTTGTTTTGATACGAAATAATCAAAGAAAGGTTTCCCTACATTCTTGTTAGTTTCCCAATATTAATTGATAGTATGGACACATGGTGTCCTTTCTTCAGCACTTTCGCATAGAGAAGGCTCATGTATATACTACCTGGTGGTGATTTGGTCAAAGTCAAACAATCTAGATTAGTGTTACTATGAATATAATTGACTTCAATTACCCCGTAAAAAGATACAGTCCCATGCCTTGGTAAAGAAAATTAGATTATATTAGCCTAATCATTGACCATGAGACAGCAACTTAAAGATACCAAATCAATTGGTGCAATTGAAACATATAAGAAAAAACCAAAAGAGCTTATGTAACAGAAAATAAAAATGTAAAAAGTGATAACAGACACCATATGTGCTAGAAGAACATAATCATGAAGATGCATTACGAGAAGGCGTAAAAAGTTCGTATCCATCCTATTGTTCCACCAGAAAAAACATATTCATGCTATTTACCCACAGCGAAGATGATATCAATGCAACTAAGAAGATTACGAAAGCAATTTGATCAACCACTGCTTGCTAACCTGAGATTTGGACCAGGACAGGTCAAGCACATCATCCAGATGTCCTTTGAAAGAACAAACTGGTTTTTCTGACAGTGCAAACATAGTCTCTGGCACGACAATATGGTCCAAGCTTGTAGATTTTCGGCTTATGGATAACCTTCCTCTTCTCTTTTTCTCACGTTGGCTATTTGGCGATGCCAAGGCTGCTTCTGGCGACCCATTGGACAACAATAAGACATTCAGATTGCCATCTTCCTGCTTATCAAATAAAAGATCACCTTTTCTATCAGAGGACACAACTTGCCAGACATGAATGAGACAGTCCTCACCAGCACTTGCAAGATACTTTCCATCCAAGCTGAACTTAATGGTCCAGATCGATCCATTGTGAGCCTGTATCTCCTGGCTTTTATAAAGAGCCGTAAGATCTTTACAAGATTTCCCATACTGTCGAACACGTACTCTCTCTGGACCATGGAACGAAACATCCTGACTATCATCGGTGGCAGAACTGGACCTTCTTCCACCCTTCTCTGAGGATGTATCTCTCTCATCACTGCTCCGTCTCTCCTTATGGCCTGTAACCGAACTGGCTACATTCCTAATACTCTTCAACCAGCCCCCTTTCTGTTTCAATTTAGATCCATTCACACCGCTGTTCGTGTCAGGAGAATCCTTATTACCAGCCTCCACATTCTGTCTTCTCATCAACTCCTGAACAATAGGTGAATGCCCAACGCAAATTTCGAATTCTTCCATAGTTAAATGCCTCCCTGTTCCAACTTCCTTAAGCTTTCCCCACATACCATCCTCTCTCACCTCATCGACCACAAACTCCTTCCCATTATCAAGATTCTTAATCGTGCACACTGCATCATCGCCAACCTTATTACAATCCAAACCCGTCTCTGCTACTTCACCCTCGTTGTTACTAACATCCAAGTTCAAATGCGTAGAATTATCACACTTGATAATCTCTTCACCCCGCCTAATAAGTTTCCCAGTGGGAGGTTTATTAGGCGAAGCAGCATTAGCACTGACAGCAGGCCCACTGCGGTTTCGAGATTCAACTGCAACAAGTTTATCGACGTTGTTACTTACAGCTGCCGTCGGCAAGGTATCAGCAACAGGGGAGGAAAATGAATGAATAGAAAGAATTTCTCGACAGGAATCCAAATTAGAACTAGAATTACGGTGTTCATGATCAGCAGAATTTGGTCGAATAATGCCAAGGTTAGAAGAAATTGAAGAAGAAGAAGCAGCCTGATGGCCTAAGTGATCCCCACCACACCCATACTTACCGAACTTTACAACGGCGGTGGCTGAGGAAGAGAGAGAAGGTTTATGGCGGGAGAGAGATGAGTCACGGCTGAGTCCCATCTGTCGAAGCAACCGCATACGACGTTCGTCAACCGATGACGGTCGTGAGATCCAAACCTCGTAATTGTTAGCAATCCCCAATGGGAATTTAGGGATAGGTATGGACCGTGCCAAAGCATCATAATCATGAACATCGCTGCAATTCGGATCACCTAGAATTATGGCATCATCATCATCTTCTTCCTCTTCATTGTCGGATGTTGAGGAAGAAGAAGAACAAGTAGTTGAAGAAAGTAATCGATCAAGAGACTCGTAGAAACAGTCGTTGCTATCTTCTTCGTCTTGGTGGCCGGGTTTGCTCATCGTTCGGGCATTCCCATCTGATAATGAAAATGCCCGGCCGGAATCGGATCAAAAAGTATAGTCCAAAGGAAGAAAGAGGTGGATCTGAGAGAGAAAGAAACAAGACAAAGAGATGAGGTTTATGGTTATGGAAACTCAGATCCGATGAAGGAAACGAAACCCTATGCAGTGGAAGAGACGTCGGAAGAAGAGCAACAGACGGAGGAGTGTGGCAGAGAACGGTGTCGTCCGGAGCACTGTGTGTTGTGTGGGGGAGAGAGAGAGGAAGATTGGGTTTGGTCCGGTGGTTGTGTACTATGATATGTAAAAAAAAATTAATACAAAAATATTTTAAATTATCAGTTAGTTTTTATCAAATTTAAAAGCATCTTTAATAACTATGTTATATTTTTTTTAAAACAACATATTATAATTTAAAAAAATTCAATTTCAACAACTATTCAATTTTAACAATTATAAAATAGATATATTATTAAGATATTTAATATATTTAATAAAATATTATTTATTTTTAATACAATGAGAAAATATTAAAATAATAAATTTTCTCTCTTTTTAGAGATTTCTTTAAATTTAGAGATAGAATGTTAAAATTAAGTACGACTTATTAAAGCTATATGTTTGAATTCGTGTAATTAACTGCGTATAAATATAATCAAATAGAGAATAAACATCTCATTTTAAAATCTAAAAAATCTAAAATATAATTATGATAATTATTGAGTTTTCTACCAAAATAAGTAATTATTATCTTTATTATATTATTAAATCAAATATAAATTACTTCGTTATTGAATCTAAATTAAATTATATCGATATATTTATGTCAAATTTTTATAATATATTCAAATTTATATTTTATTCAAGATAAAAACATCATCGTTTTTTTAAAATCACGTAAGACCATATTATAACATCGACTGAAATAAAAAATAAAATGAAATATTAAAACCAAGATGCATCTCGTTACATTACACGAATACCCGTCTATTAATATATTAAAACGTGACTACAAATTAATAATTAAAATAATTATTTCTTTTAATAAACTATAAAAATAATAATGACATTTGAGCAACATATATTACCATCCCTTTTAATGTCATAACAGCTTAAATCATGCATTAAAAATTAAAAAATAAAAAGAAAATTAACATATATAAATGCATTTAGTAATATATAAAGATGCATTTATCTTATTATTAAACAACTGGTATACCGTTTTTTTTAAATTTAATTAAAAATAGACAATTTACGTCGATAACAATTATTTTTGACGACGATAGAGCCGAGTTGATTATGACTTGAAACCACCATCATTTTTCCTAAGAAGACAATTGATATATCATAACTGGTACGTCATTTCATATGCATGTCTCTTTCTTAAATTTGATATCAGTTATTGTTATCGTATACAGATATGATTAAACGAGAATATGATCAAAATAATAAAAAAAAATACGAAAACAATCAAATCAAACGTGATTATCCATTGAAATCGCTGCGATTTCGGAGCACAAGGGTGAAATAGACGACTTAGCCTGCAACTTCACATGTGAATTTACACGTGATTTTAGTGTAAAATCACATGTATTATGAAGTACGAGGGGTTTATGTGTGTTTGTAATTTTAGTGTAAAATCATATATAAGCATTCAAGATCGTCGTCTTTCTATGATTTTAATTAAATATACAGTATTGTTTGATTTTTCTTTAACTTTTTGATGTCTTATTTGTTAATTTTTAATATATAATCTATTTTTTTTATTCACTGGATAACCAACTCGCTATGCGAGCCAATTAATCACAGGGTGATCACCTGTTTTGCGGATAGCCCAAAGTCATCGCATTTGAACCTCTGTGGCCACAAAAGGGATTTTTATTCCTCATTGGATTTGAACTAGGGACCTCCAGACACTTTTGACCTTTGGAGCAGAAACTCAAACCAATCAAACACCACTCTTGTGGTTAATTATTTATTGTTATTGACTCATTGAATAATAGTAAAAAACGTATGTTTATGTGTATATAATATTAATATATTATATGTGATATATATTCTTCAAAAAAAAAAAAATATATATATATATATATATATATATGTATGTATATGTGATACAGAGATTAGCCGTCATAATTCACGCATTACAATAACGCGATATTTAAAAATTACCTGACACTAAAATTTAAATATTTAAAAACATTACAATAAAGCGATATCTAAAAATTACTTGACATTTTCTTTTCTTTTGAAATCAAGTTTGTATTTTATTAAAAAGAGTAAACAGTAAAACTCATTGACCTCATTTCGATCGTTTTGACGAGAGATTTTTAATAATGTATTTGTTATAAAATACTAGAAGAGTACGCGTGCAATGCAACGAGACAACATCTCGATTTTAATGTTATATTTTATTATTTGTCTTTGTCGATGTTATAAGACGATTTTATGTGTTTTTAAGAGAACAATAATGATTTTACTTTTGAATAAAATATAAATTTGAAGATATCATAAAAAATCGAAAAAATATATATCAATATTAATATCAAATCAACTATTTAAAAGTTTTCATTTTTTATGTAATTTCTTTAATTTTTTTTTTGTTATAATTTAATTTAAGTTTAATAACGAAATAATTTATTTTTGGTTTAATAATATAACATTTTATAAAGATAATAATTAAATATTCTGTTAGAACTCAATGATTATTCTAATTATATTTTAGATTTTTTATATTTAATATAAGATGTTTATCTTGTATTTGATTATATTTATTTGCAGTTAGTTACACGAATTCATATATGGAGCTTTAATGAGTTGTACTTACATACAATCTACTTGCAATCTTGAGTTTTAAGTAATATGCATTAATAAACAGTACTTTACACATAAAAAATAGTTTTAAGAGTTTTTATCAAATACTATCCAATATTCAATAATATATTGGTGTGAAATGACTTTTTGCTTAATAACCTTTTTAAAAACCTTTGGCTTCAACATTATTAGTCTTCTTAATGGTTTTTTCAAATAGTAAAAAGCTTTACAATAAGCTTGCATCGGAGATGCTCTAAGGGACTGTTTATCTAAATACTTATCCGGTAAGCATTTACCGTTAGGAGTCAACATATAATTTATTTTACTGGGTAATATTGTAGTAAATCAAAATGGAATCGTATGCAACAATTTACCCGGTAAACACTTATCCGGGCAAGAGTCGTCACATTCACTTAACGAATAAGACTCTTCATCTTTATCATTGCTTTTACCGGTAAGATTTTTGACTTTTGTCATATTAATCCAGTAAAAAAAATTACCCAATAAACATTTATCAACTAAACGTTTAGTAAACAACCTCTAAACCTTGACATTTGCTTTCAACATCACATGATATTTCAAATCATTTAAAACCTTACTTGTCAAAACTTATAATGATTTAATAATTAATTAAAGATAGATTTATGAAATTTATAATATATTTTTAAAAATAAAAATTTATTTTAAATAAAATAAAAATTTGCAGAGTAAAATTTTTGGTTGCATAAACGTGTACACATAGACGAAAAAGGCGTTAAATTAATTTAATTGGATTAATTAAATTAAATTAATTGGATTAATTAAATTAAATTAAAATGGAAATAACATGGTCATGATTTAAGCCAGTGACAGACATACCACGTGGCTTGATACCCATCAATGCCCTCCGCCCTTTCATTCATCCATCCGCCGTATTTCTTTCATCTTAATTCAAGTTTATTAATTACTCTTAAATATTAATTAAACGCAATTTTCATTTTAAAAGTATTTTAAATGCATGTTTGAATATGAGCTGTAAATTTTATCGATTTTGAAGTTTTATTGGTTTTATTAGAGAATAGTTAACGATGATATAAGTTACACTTGGTTTTTACATATTAATACAATTTGAATAAATAAGAGTTATGGTTCCAGTTACAGTATATCGATGAAAAAAATTGTATGACAATTTAAAATCCAATATATTTAAAATCCAACATATTTAAACGACTCCACAAATATGTTCGATTTACACCAAGAGCAAAGAATCAAAAGATCGAGAGTTCTAGAGCAATTGAATAAGAGATAAATGAGAGAACTTTTGATAACTCATGATGAATATCAGTTTGAATTTCACTTTGGGGGATGGAGAGAAGACATAGAGGTAAAAGAAGGTGAAGACATTAATGAAATATGTCAAAAATATTTTGGAAACATGAAAAGAAAATGTAATAATGTGCATTGATAACTTGTACTATATGTTAGTTTAATTGTAAATTAAGAGATTTTAAGACTGAATGCATAAAATAATATTACTTAATGCATTATGAGTTGTTTTTAAAACTTTTAAGACTTTGTGTATAAATGTATAGTACTTTGTGCATTAAAAATTGTTTTTATGACTTTTGATAAATCTGATTTATAAGATAGTATAGATAGATAAATTATAATCGTTTGTAACCGTAGACTTGGAATCATGTGACACCAACAAGTTTTCCTGAGACCATTTTTTTACATTTGAAACTTCACAGCAAAACGTTGTGAAGGTAACCTTCACAGTGTTTTTGTTGTGAAGGTTCCACTTTTTTTTTTTACCTTTACAACTTTTTGCTGTGAAGTTTTAAGTATAAAAAAGTAGTCTCGAAAACAGGTCAGTCTCATATGAACCCAACCCTGTAACCGAATACACATATATACTTGGAATCATTTGAGATCAAATTGTTTTTCTGAGACCTGTGGGACCACCACAATGTTTTTTGTTGTAAAGGTTTGAAATTTTTTCTACCTTCACAATGTTTTGCTGTGAAGTTTCAGTATTATTTTATGGTTTCATGCGTCTCAGGAAAACATGTTGGCTTCACGTGAACCCAATTTATTTTATTTTCACCCACCAATTTTAAAATAAATCTTTAGATGACCATAAACGTATATGTAGATGATAGGATTTGAATCCTGATTTTATCATCATCTTGTCTTTATAAACCACACTGCACGATTATAAACAGTGATTTACAATTAAAGGGGTGTTTGATTAGATGTATTAAGCAGTAATCAATGAGAATGAAAATAAAAGAAGCTGTTTGTTTTTATATAATATACTGAGCTCACTCCCGCATAAGCCCAAATTTTCATTCTGGATTAAACTGGGGGGAATAAAAATTTGTTCTCTGTCATTTTCATTCATCTGTCTGAACCAAACACCCCCTAAAACATGTGTGTTTCAATTATTATGATGAAACAAG